TCATCATGACAATGCGAGCTCTCACACATCGACTCAAACAAAGGCATTTCTGACGGAGCGAAAGATCGAACTGATGGGTCATCCGCCGTACAGCCTTGATTTGGCACCCAATGATTTCTTCTTATTCCTACCCATCAAAAATAAATTACGTGGACAACGATTTTCGACTCCCGAAGAAGCGGTTGATGCATTTAAAGCGCATGTTTTGGAGTTACCTCAATCAGACTGGAAAAAGTGCTTTGAAAATTGGTTCAAACGCATGCAAAAGTGTATTGATCATCATGCAGAATATTTTGAAAAACAATAAAATCAATTTCGATCCTACATATTTGTTTTTTCATTATTAGGCCAGAAATATAAATAGCAACCCTCGTATGAGAACGTTATTGGTGAATTATATTTTCTCACGAGAAACTTCCTTATCAGGTTTCTTTTTTTCTCTCGATGACGATCGGAGATGCAGCAATCGCAGGCAGTGAAAATTCTCTGTTATGATTGTTGGGTTAGGGAAAAAATAAAATAAATAAATAAAACCTGACTAACGATGAGCTAGATATGACTTCTTTTAAATAAAAAAAATCCCGAAGAAGCAAATCGCCATAACCTCAATGCCCCATATGGGAATAATTACATTTCAAAACATTTAGAAATGGAAATGACAGTAATTAATTATGTACTTTTCATATACTCGATGTATTATAAGTATCATCATTCCCTACACATTATTAAAAACTTTTTTTTGCACTATTTCGTTTTCGTGGGTTATAAACTAATTTAATATTTAGATTATTAGATAAGCAATTATTATATGATTTTTTACTAACCTTTGTGTTGGTATTTACAGGTAGAGCTCTCGGGCTGAACCTAAGAATACGAATGCAGGATCTTCCTCCGCCATTACATACACCGCACACATCGGGAATACCAGTGCTATAAGTATGAGATATTCATGACAATTTAAGGTTAATTACAGACAAGAAAGATTAGATAAAATATACTTATTTCCCCTTAAAAATACAATTAGCAAAGAAAATAAAATTAAGAAGAAAAATGAAATTACAAGACAACTGTAAAAAATTACGGGACCACCATAAATCAATGGATTTTTTAGTATTAGTATGTAATACTCATTCGAAACGAAATCATAATGAGGTTAAAATTTCGTGTTTGTCAATAATACATTTGTATTATTGATTGTCCTTAATCTCGGAAACCGCCGGAATGTTCGTTTTTTATACAGGTTGTTCCATAGTGATTGGTTTCATTATTATATATTTTTGGAAGTCAAAAAGAAGTTTAAAGAATTAGCATGTTATGAGTCATAAAGAAATACCAAAACAAAGAAAAAAGAAAAATGTCATCGATATTTGAAGAACAGCTAGTGAGAAGCGTGGGATGACAACATAAAAATCTGTTTGTTTGGTTCCGAAAAAAACAGAGAGGAATTGAAAGGCAATTAATAGAAAAGTTTCCAAGCTTTTTTATGCTTTTACATTTTTTAATCCGCTGTCCTCATTAGTAAATTAAGAAAATTCGAAAGCGCTTTTGTCTTTTCCCAGCTTATATATTAATTTATAATTCCAAATGTGTATATTTTTTGTCAAAAATTCTAGAAATGTTTATTAAGGGCAGTAACTATGGAACACCTTGTATATTTGATTGTGTTATATTTAAACTCAGATTTTTCATGAAATTAATTGTAATTATAATTTTACTGCAAACTATATTTAAAGAAAAATATCGCATTGTCATCTAGTGTATCTGACTTTATGTAAGTATTAGCTCTCGATTAAGGGTGTTGAGGTGGATATAAGGTGTTTGGTAAAAAGCGCCCTTAATGTAAATTTTTTGAATCTGTATCAAAATGTAGACAAAAAGTACACATATTAGGGGTCACAGTTTAATTTTTGAATGAGTAATCGGAATGAGACAAGTCCTATTTGTATTATAACCGTCATTGAACAGTCAAACCAATTTTTTTGATTTACGACTACTACTGTTCAACTCCGCAGCCTTGTAATTTTGAACCCAATCCTGAAGATAAAGGAACTCTTGGGTATAGAATTGGGAGAAATTTGCCTTCGTGGAGGACTTTTTAATAGAACAAACCCGCGTTTGCGTTACATAGAGAGAAAAAACACTAAAACCACCAACGGTTAGCGTGACGGCAAGGGGACTCTAACCCATGATTCGTTTACCACTGAGGATATTTCACGTCAGCACTGTGGTCGGTGGGAGTCGGGTGCAGATTCGCATCGACCAGCCATCGATGGTACTCGAACCCGGTTAACGTCATTGGAAGATGAACGCTCTATACCCTGAGCCACCATCACTCTGAAAAGCCTTATTTGAGAAAAGCGGTGGTTTGTAGAGCCATCATGAGGATTAGACAAGTGAGGCATTTGCCTAGATCTTGCAACTCTGAGAGGTTCCTGCAAGTACTATGCAGTCAAGAATTTTTGTTAATAATTATTAAAATTCGTTTTTTTTTACAAAGTTATTATTTTTAACATTAGAAATTCTGAAACATTTTTCTAATTTAAATGATATATATAGATGCAGTAACCTAGGACATGCACTAGGATTTTGAAGAAAGAGTTTTCCACATTTTATTCATAGAAGTTAAAACCAGAAAATGAGATTTTATTTAAAAATTTTTACGTGAATATTAAAGCGGAGATTAATAAAATTTAAAATAATGCTAACGGAAGAAAAATGTCTAACTTATTTGTTTATAAGAATAAAAGTTTTTTTAAAAAAATGAATAATCAATTTTAAGAAACTAGGAGAAAATCTAATTGTTAGAAATACAATTTTTAGGGATCCTACAAAAGGGAAATATTTAAAAGGCCCCCCAAATTGTTCTGGCCAGGGCCTCTCAAAATAGAAGTAGTTGAAAAACCTCTATTCGAAACATCGTCAAGTTTTATTCAGCAATTAAATAAAATTCTGTATTTTTAGTCCTGCCTTCCCCAGTAATAATCCGTTGGGTTTCCACAACGTTTTACTTTCTGATTAAAGTATTAGTTTGCAACTCTTAATGAATATCCCTTTTCAAACTTCATTTTTGAAAAAATTCTTATTAAAAAAATTCTTAAAATACATATTAAGTGCTGACTTCATGATGAAAGATAACGTTAAAAATCTGCTTAGAACTGTGGAATTTACGATTAATAGTTAATAGCTAGAAACATGTTAAATGTTTTGTCCCAAAATATACCTAAGTGCCATTGCAATAGAGATAGACAATGATGTGGAAATGGTGTAGAAAATTGCTCCTCATTGTGTAGGACAATGTTTCCCAAAGTGTGGTGCGCGTACCCCCAGGGGTACGGGAACAGTTTAGCTGGGGTACGCGTTCTTATGCGAAGTATTTTGCAACAAACGAAAATTTCCAAAAATTTCATTTGAAAATAAAGCTAGCCATGAAAATTTAGGATTACGGATTTTTATACTGGCTATTTTTTGCAGAGTTAACAGTTAATAATTAGTGGTGTCAGCAGCCAGTGGTGATATTTAACTTTTGTGCAATTTTTTTATAGTAAAAAATACATTAATTCTTTTATTAGTGGTACACAGCATTACGACAAATTTAGAAAGGGTACTCAAAAGTCATAAGTTTGGGAAACACTGTTGTAGGAGATTGGCATTGTGTGTGAATTGTGTAGGAAATTGCTCCTCGTGATTGCACAAGTGACTACAAATATATCTAGTGCTGTGGTTGATGTTAATCAAGCATTTTAACTGTTATAGTATCTGTAAAATTAAGATTTACTCTCCTTCGTAGATAAATTGTAGGTGTTTGACACATGGGACATTCGAATAGTCATGGAACTAAGATAGAAATCGATAGCGACAAAGAACTAGAAGTTTAAGAATAACTCACCCGTTGCAAGGACAAGTCATCCCGGCTACCGATTTGCAGTTTCCGCATTCATCATATACTTCTGATTCTGGAATGCCACTCATGCCTCCAACACAACGTCCACATTCTTCTTTTGCCATTAAATTTTCTTGCCCTATGGCAAATTGATAAAATTTCAAAGCATTTTTTCTTCTTCAAATAATCGTTAATTCAGTTAGTTAAAATTGTTATATGTAACGCTAATTTTAAAAAAATATGTATGTAAGTATGTGTGTTGTAATAATCCCGACATATTTAATTTAATTGAGCTATGATTTGGGGAAATTTACCAATTGCAATCGTTCAAGAGACCAACATTTTGGAAAAAAAAAAGGATCTCCTTGTTTGCTATAATATGCTTTTTTTTGCAATATTTACCTCGGTTTTGGCTTGGCCCATATGTTGGAGATTTTAAGAGTTGGGGAAATGTTTTACGAAAATGTTTATTTACCAGCTATCTTTTCTGTAAGAACAAAAAATTTCCAAGTTGATATTTTTTGATTGTTTATTGTATAACGTATTCAGTTATTATTATTATTTTTTTGAATAAATTTAAAAATAACCTTTTATTGATAATTTTTTTAAGATTGAAAAAAATTGGATTATACTTCGCTACTTGAGGGTAGTTTAACCCACTATAAGTGAGGTTTGACTAACACGAATAAAAGGGCTACTAAAACTTCTAAATAATGTTGAATGTTGGAAGAAATGTTACAGACAAGAATTATGTCGAAAAAATATCACATATTTATTCATCGATGGAGAAAAACAGAAAAGATTTAAATATAACTTTTTTAAATAATTTTAGTTTGAATCAGGAAGTTTGATACAGTATTGCGAATCAGTAAATTGAATTACACAAACACAATTCTGTAATTTATTATTTAATTTTTATTATTTTATTCCTTGATGGGCTTAAATAAAGGATCAGCATAGAAACTCCTGTCTTCACACGTCCTTTTCAAAACTCAGTTTTTAAAGTATCTCTACAATGTTCTGCTCTTTCTAATCCCGTGTCAGGATTTGCTAACGAGGGGAACGAGGTTGAAAAAACTTAAAAATTTGTCCCTTGTTCTGTTCTCAATGTAGTATTATTACCTTTATTTAAGGGATTAATCTGTTAGTCCCATAGCCTTTTTGAATAGTGGTCTTAATGTATTTGCCTCTTAATAAGAAACATTCTATTTTATTGTCACGGAAAAAAGTTTCTAAAAGTACGATAGAACTTGAGAAATAGAAAACCGAAATTTAATACTTTAATAGTAGTCTATCTTTTGAAGACTGCTACTACCAGGGGTGAAATTTTTTAAAGTAACTTGCCATAGTGCAATCTAAAGTAATTTTACTTTTGATGTGTTGTGTGGGGGAGTTTAATTTTTTATTTTTCTTATATGTTCTTTTACGTATGGTCTCAAAAAGGGAAAGATGAACATTAAAAAAAAAGTTGAAAGTTGCAATTAATGTAGCGGAAATAGAAAATATTAAATTGAGAGATTCAAGAAAACTTTTTTTGGAATAAGTAAGAACAAGTAAATTATGTATTAAAGATAAAGAAGAAATTACAAAAAAATTAGGGTTTACTACACTAAATAAAGTTTCCAAAACCGTTAAATTTGGAAAAACTATAGCACGTGAAATTGATACAGAAGTGTTCAATTGGTTTTGTTCTGTAAGAGCAAGAAATGCTTCTGTAAGAGGATTATATTATATATTTACTAGAAAAGGCACAAGGGGTAGAGCAAAGGTTGGGATTACAGTACTTCCTAACCTCAAATGGATAGATTTAAGAAGAAAAAAAAACCTCACACTACCTTTATGACTATATGTGGTAAAAAAAAATCAGTAGACGCGCGGTACTGAGTAGTGTGGATAAAAGATTTAAATGAGATCTGTGAGCCTGCATTTTTGATTATATGATTTTTTTTTTTCAGTTTTAGGTGGCATCAGAATAAGGGACACCTCAATTCAAGGGACAAATCATCAGGCCCTAGGTGCATCTTTTATTTAAATATGCTACTGTATTTTGTGAAGTTTCCTTTGTTTTGTTTTTTCGTATTGTGCATCTCCTCGATTTTCTCTTTGGAGGGCGTGATTTGGTATGATGCGTCAAAACTCTCTTAATAGTAATTTTGTTTAAAAAAAATAATTAAAAAGTATTTTGAAGTTGAAAGTAAAAGAAGTACTGATTTTTAGTATGTTAATCGAAGAACGCGAAGAATTCAACTTATTTCAACATAGGTAAAAGATAGGCTTCATAACTTCATAAGATGGAGGAAAAAAAAAAGCCTCGTGAAAGAAAAAAAAATGTCGTTGGAATTTATCCCTGATGATTTCTCCTTCAGTTTACTTTTAAATGGAAGATTGACTTAAGCAACTTAATCAGATACAAGCAAGCAGTTTCTCTAAATAAACATACTCTTAACGTATTCGGATTCATAAACCCCCAAAATATAGGGAGTAGCCGCAATCTGGGAAATATGGTTTCAATACTTTGGTCAGAAGAGTTGTTCAAGGTTACTCTTTGCATATTTCGTCATATCTCGCGAACCATTTAAGTAAATAAAAAAAAAATTTTGAACAAAAATTATGAAATTCGTTTTTCCTAAAATAATTTTACGCAAAAAAAAAAACTGTTTTTATAAATATTTATTATTTTTTAATTATTTTATTTAATTATGGTCGCAAAAAGTTTGAATTGTTAAGGTATACAATTTCTTACATCCTTCTAAAGAATGCAACTTTGCAAGACAGAATAAAAAGTTGGAGTGAGATCGGTCATATAGTTCCTGAGAAATCGATTCATAAAAATGCGACTTTCTTAAAAATGACCGATTTCGATCAAATTTTGCATTTTGCCATGTAAAATTTCATTCCTTAAAAGGATGTAAAAATTTGTATGCCTCACAGTTCAAACTTTTTTCGACTAAAATGAAATAAAATAATAAAAAACGATAAATATTTACTAAAAGTTATTTATGCCCGAAAATATTTTTAGATAAACGAATTTCATAATTGTGTGAAATGTTTTTTTCCAATTCGACTCTAGATATGGCGAAAAATGCACAAAGTAAGGTCCGAACTTTGGACCGTTCTCACGATCAACTTATTTGGACATTATTTCCCAGATTGCGGTTATCTCCCATATTTTAGGGGTCAGAAATCTAAATCCGTCGAAAAAAAGGTGTGTTTATTCAGAGCTAGTACGTTTTTGTGTCTGATTTCGTAACTTATAAAATCGTTTGCACTTAGTAACTAATATATTTATAATCACCCTCTCAAATCATTAAGTTTGAGCTCTAAAACGTGAAGATCTGATCATTAGATCAAAAGTTATTCAGGGTGGTTTGTTTTTTATTGTGCACATTGCGTAGATAAGTGTAGCAAAATAATTTTACAGTAAATATGTCTTCAAAAGTTTCGTTTAATAGCTGCTAAAAATTGCAATGAGCTAAGTAAATGCAAAAAGAAATGTTGAAATTTGCATAAATAAACATTTAATGATAATGTAAAGCTGGGGAGAATTTGATGATAGGGGAAAACAGAAGAGTCAAAAGAAGGAATTATATAAAAAGGAGGTCAGAGGCTCTAAAATACCGAATTACTCTCTGATTCGCTCATTTTTTCTTACTGTTTTTTAATTTAAAAAAAATAAAGTGTTTATTTCTAAGTTGAATTCATTAAAATAGTTTAATCATTTTTGTTTCAATGCCACATACAGTCCCTGGCCAAATTATTAGACGCACTATAAAATTCTATGTAAAATCCAAATTACCAGGTGATACAATACTGTTTCATTCTTTTAACGTGACTGAAACAGGTTTGCACTTTTTTGCGCTCGTGTATCACCTGGTTAAATTAGACGATATATAATATAAATTCGACGATTGGATAAATTAGACGATATATTATATAAATATAGAATATTTATTACATAAGGTATTATATTAGTAAGTTATAATAATTGGACTAAATGATTAAGCGCCCTGTAGTGTTTTAATAATTACATGTTTTGCACGAGTTTACATGCAATACTTTTATATTTAAACATACATGTAATGGGTTCAGGAGATTTTTTATATACCTCCTATTTGTATTTATTTTCAACGTATAGCATTACAATGCTAACGAATTGACACACGAACGTAAACAAGTACAAACCGGTTTCAGCCACGTGAAAACAATAAAGCTATATATAGTGAACCAAAACCTGATAATTAAGATTTTATATAGAATCTTTTAGTGCGTCTAATAAATTGGCCAGGGATTGTATAAACAGCGTTATCTATACACGTGTACATCGAGTTTCATGAACATTTTTCTTCTCATTTATTATTGATTTAGAGTAACAGATACTGTTGTTGAAGGCGAAATTCATTAAAACTAATTCAGTAACCTTGTAATTTTTGAAAAAGCATAACAATTTCAAAGTTTTCTTTTGTTATTGAAAACATATGAAAAATGCATATTTGTATCAATGAATGGACTAATGATAAAACTGTAAAAGTAAAAAAAAAATAATAATAATAAAAAAATAAATAAATAACAAGCTTTGCGTGTGTGAAGATAGGCACGTGTGACGATAAAGTTGCACGATCATGCACTCGAAACACTGAACTTGGTCTTACTAAAATTGATATTATTGACATCAATCACTGATTGGAAGACGAATTGTATTCGAACTAAATTTATCGCGTGATTGTCTATTCTGCTATCGTGCGAGAGTTTCGTTCACATCAGATAAGTAAATTTGAAATATGTACCTGGTAAATGACACTTATTTGTGCAATCTTGAAAAGGCGACGTCCCTGTGTGGCAAACACCACACGAATCCGTGAATAATTGCAATCCTGTCGACGAGCACATTCCTCGACAATCTCGATTCGACAAAGCCACTGATTTTGAATTTTCTGAAAGAGGAAGATGAATATTCTTATAAACAAAACAAACGCATAAGCATTTTACTTCATTTACTGAAATTAAGTTGAGTTTCAATTTAATTTGCAGTTCTGGTTCATGCAGCATGATTCAAAACTGGAAGTTGAAGAAGAGGCCTACCGAATCGCGACTATCGAGTCGCATGCGGTTTGAATAGCTTCAAATGCTTCTTCTTATACAAAGTTTACGAATGCTTACAAAGTAATAATAGAAAATCAAGAAATTTTCAAAGAAATTCAGAAGTACCCATTGCTTACTTTGCTTGTTTTTACTCAGATTCAATATTTATTAATTTTATGTCATCACCCACAATCAGTAGATAATCATGTATTGAAAGTGAATCTTATTTTTTCTATCATTATACATAAAATAAGATTATAAAATTCATGAGCATGACTAAATTGTCCTTTATGAGAGCTTCTTATGTTAAATTATTACACATTTGCGATACAAGGGAATGAAGGCCCTCCGTTACAATTGAATCTTAAAAACGGGCTAGCCATCAATGGAATGTAACAAAAAATAAAAGAACAAGATTTTTATAGTAAATCGTGGAGTAGTAAGGGCGCTTTTTCATTACACGACACGATAACGACAAAACGGATCCGATTGTCGGCGAACGACATAGAGTCTAGTAAAATACATGGTCAGCAGCGGAGTGCTTTTTCACTCACCGATACGATAACGATTATGTCGTATCCGACAAGGCGATATCGTTTGTCAGAATTAAATGTCGGTTAGGCAAGCAAGTTTCTTCTCAAATCATGGCGATTTTATTTGTTATTGTGTATCTTTTCTGTTTTATCTCCTCTTTTGATATCATTATT